GAAAAAGCTGAAATGAAATCAATTCTCGGTGCACCTGCAGAAGAGGCAACAGCTGTCAAAGTGGTTTATCACTTCAGAAAACTCTAGTTCCAGGTGCTGAACCAATGACTTCCCTTAGCTCAGTCGTCTGACTAAAGGCTAAGGACTCTACCCAGGAAGGCAAATACACATTTTAGACAAGGGGACCCGTTCACACTCTGGCTGCTGACAACTCACCTCAACTTGAAATCCAAGAATAAATGCTTTCACAAAGTCAGCTGCTTTTGTCAGAGCACTCAGATCCTTTGTCTCTTTACAAGTCTGCAAGGCAAAAATTATAGATGCAAATTAAGAGCACATAATGGAAATGTAACAATCCACCTAATATCTCCTTGTTCTTACTCATTAGGCTGAAATACTGCAGTAATCCTAGCCATCCACGAGAACATTTGATCTACTAGTGCCGTTCAACGATCCCAATGTTCTGTGCCTCCAAGAACGTGCAGCACATCACCCCAACCAATGCTTGGAATTCTTTCTCCACCCAGTCAATGGATGCTGCTTGAAAACTCTTCTGCCATGATGTGAAGGAACGGAGGTTTCTGCAGAACCCCCTGGAACATAACCCAAATCATACCAAAACAAACAGCAACCTGAGAAGCAAGGAGCAGGGAAGTAGAGATATGGTCAGCTTGAAGGCCATGTGCAGTATGTAATGCTTACCAAACTATTACACAAATGTTGAGACTAGAACCTCTGCCATCACCCCTCCCAATGCAGTGCTTTGTGTAGTGAGCCTCCTGCCAACTACCTCCACCCCAGATTCTCCCCAAATTCTGCCTAAAAGTTCAATCAGGATAAATTCAAGAAATTAATTTCTGTACACCAATGAGATTTTAATTTGGAGCATCATCTATTAGGACCCAACACTTAAGATCTTTAGATCAAGAAAAAAAGAGAAATGTGCACTCTAAGTCAGAGAAACTGCGCTCTCTCAAATATATGCCCTAGATCAATACAGAAATTGATCTAGATAAGGTGTTACAGACACCGTCATGCAGGAAGTCAGACTAAATCATGATAACTATGGGCCTTGAATTTTATGGAATGTCAGAAAAAACATGCAAGAATTAAGGTTTGGACAAAGGAGGCGGCAGGTCAAAGGAAGAGAGAGATTTGTGAATCATCAGCGAAGAAAAAAAAGGACGAGGAAGAAGCCTTGTGTAACTTTTAACAACTGAAACATTGTGGGCGCAATCTAAAACACAGAAAGAGAAACACAAAAGTCACAGAAGGGCAAAATTTCAGAGCAGCACGTGTGATAGAAAAAAATAAAATAAAATAATTGATTAAAGAGGATGGACATGGAGTAAGCCAGCAAATCTCAAGGCTTGAAGAGTATCATTAAAGACAAACAAAAGCATGTCAAGATAGTACAGGCAACAGAAACAAGATCAGAGAAAGCAAGGAATGCAGCTGCACGTGAATCATTTCAATTTAAAGGTGTAGGAAGAAAAAAGCTGGGCAATAATTGGAGAATGAGATGGGATAAAGACAGGTGCTTCTTTCCCACTTTCTTTTTTAAGATGGGGAGGGACAGAAGGAGGAGTATGCAGGGGATGCCCAACAGAGAACAGAAGGAATCTGGGGATAGGTACATACACATGTCCAGCAAGCTGAGGAGACAAGTTAGGACGGGGTCACTGACTAGGGAGAGAGCAGATCTGGTGAGATTTTTACCCATTTTCTGGACAGAGGCGACATCGTTTTTTTAAAATGACCTTACACTTACATACCACATCAATGCTTTGTTATCAAGGAGCAATGCCAAAGTTATAATCATACTTTCTGCTAATTCTGAAAAAGGAAACCCTACACTCTCACAAAACACCAAGTTACCTAATTTTGAAAAGTTTTTTTATCTTTATTATATTAAAAAAATTTGAAAATGTGACTTAATACATTTATCAAGATGTGAAAGTGTAGTAATCTGAAACACATCTTGATAAATGTATTATGTCACATTTTCAAATTTGAGGATGAAAATCCATATATTACTGATGTAACATCTTTCTTGATAGCAGTAAATTGTATAATGAGCATTGTAGCAGCCACCGGAGGAGAGGCAACTAAGTTATTTTTATCTATAGTGCCTCTCTTTTTCAATAGCTATAACATGGCAAACCAGGTACGCAAGGGAATGCAGATTACTAGGTCTGGTTTCTGATAACATACAACATTTCTAGAAAGCTTACAAAGCTGTTGCAGTTATAAATGACATATTGGAGGCAAGGATAGGGATAGTTTTGTGACACGTTTTGCACAGCAAAACCTGAGATTTGAAACTTGAGTTTGTATGGAAATAACCATATGTGAGAAGCAGTGCAGACTCTTGGTCTGGATCAATCTGATTGTCACCTGATGATCTCACAGAAAAGCACTTGAGAATTTCATCCTGAATCAGCTACTTAAATATTGTTTTTTGACTGTGTCTCTTAGGTCAGCGGTTCTCAACCTCAGTAGCCTTCAGGCAAACAACTGTTCATCTACTACAATGAAGAAAAGTCTCACCCACTCGAAACTAGATAGGCAGTATTGTGGCCTCAAACATGCATAATGCATTAAATTCTTAAATAAGATTGAGTAGTTGGATCATACCCAGGTTTTTCCTTCAGTGCCAGAACCAAATAATTTTTCCTCAGAGAGATATAAAGTTAGAGAAACAAAAATATCACAGAAGTCAGTCCTACGAATAAAATTCCATTCTTAAAAGTTTTACTTATGTCAACTATTTACCTCAAAAGAGTAACTGCTGCTTTTTAACTGGGATACCTTTTTTGCAATGCTCTCATTTGGCTTCCTATAGCAAATACCTACGCTCTAAATTATTAAAATCTTTCTACACATGACAATTTTTTGTATTTCAAATCCCAGCTGAACCGAAGTGATACACTGTTTGCAAAAACTAAGAGAAAGAGCTTTCCCCTTACCTTGATTTCCACATTTCTTGTTTTTAAATTAAATCGGATTTGAAGTTGCAAATGTTCCACAACAGGTGTGAATATTTTCATCCAATTCTCTTTCAGAGGGGTATATCGGTTTGCTGGTACAGGGATTTTCCTCATTTCAACTTTTTCACCCTAGAAAAAGGGATTTTAGTTTTACTTAAAAAAAAATTAGACTGATGTCCCAAGGATCCCAAAATAAGGGTCACCCCTCTCTAAACCCCCCACATGCACATTTTTATCCACCCCATTTCTAAAATTACCCAGGCCAACCACCCCCACTGGTCTGAGGAGGCACCATTGACTAGTATGAGAGGCCTGTCCCATCCCCACCAAATCAGTGGGTTTCCAAGATGCTGCTTTTTGCAGTCCCGTGAGAACTCATTTGAGATGTGCAGGATATTAAGTGGCCCTGAGCTTCCCCCAAACCCATGCTGACATACTGGCTGCTAGAAGACAGCCTGTCAGTGTGCTCAGTCACCAACATGTTTTTTCCCCCTTGAACAGAATAACAGTTCAACAGACAGCGGACTCCAGGACTGCCAGACTCACAATGCACCGAACAACAACCCAGTGAAAGAAGAACATTATGCCGGTGTTTTGTGCTGGGGCGCAAAGTGCTAGTAACACTTGTTGGGAAGGGGCTGCATTAAGGACCAAAGGCTGTTGTCAAGGACATCAACCTTTAAACTGGAAACCCGATAAGGTTTCTCTGCTAAATCCTACTTCATTCCCATCTAGTGCTCTTCAGCTGTAGCTCAGCCAATGTAGTGTCAGTGTGGATTCAGGTAAAGGTTGGCCACTTGCATGTCCTATAAAATAATTTACCTTTAAGGTAAGGACTGCAGAAGGCAGGGCAGCACCTCAGATACTAACTAGTTTGCGGGGAGGGAGTTGGTCCATCTTGCCCAGTCTCAGTGCCCCCTTTTGGTGAGATTGCTGTCAAACCTTTGACCTTCACTCCTGTCCATTTTGTCTTTTGTCTCATGAATTCAGTTGACACATATGAAACAGTCATCTCTATAAACAGGAAGGGCTAACTGTTGCTCTGCAACCATGTTCCCAACATGCGTCAGACAGGCCTGAGAGGAGGAGCAGGCAGCATGAGGCACCAGCAACTCTGCTGGAGCCCCTGCGGGAAGTTCAGCCAGGGCTGCTACTCTTGCTGCGTGTAAACCACTGGATTAGATGACCTCTGTGTGTGGTGGGGGGGTAGTTTCTGCCAGCCCCACTTCTCTACGACTCTAAATTGGGCAAAATGCTGTCAGCAAGATGGCAGCAGGGGGCTGTGGCAGCTGCTCCAACTCCCTGGAAACACATTTCACTTTACAGAGAGGGTGCAGGGCTACTTTATGCGTAGAATAAAGATGCCGACAAGCGTCACACTGGGGCAGCAAGCGGGCACTGAAAGGGAGCTGGCAGAGGGTCTGACCAGGACCCACTCTTCTTCTCCCACTGACAGCCTCCAGCATCTACAGGACCGCAGGACATCGGAAGTCGGGATGCAGAAGCCGTTGCTCCTTTTTCTCCAAGGGTCTACCCAGCCCCTGACCCCAACACGCCGGAGGGGAGGGGTCGCCCCGCAGCAGAGAAGGGGAGGGGAAGGGGGGAGGGAAACCTCCCTGTCTGCCTCACGTACCCCGAGCGCAGCGGTGGGGGCAGCGGCGGGCGGGAAGCTGGGCCTCTTGCTGGGCCGCGGCTCCGTAGTGTCCATGCGGCTGGCGCCAGCCGCTCGCCGCTTCCGCTTGCCTCTTGACACCACGCCGGTGAAGCCGCCGTCGACCTCCGGGGCGCACTGCGTCTCCATGCTGGCCGCCGCCCCGGGCTGCTGTCCCGGCGCCTCCATTCCCCACGTGCGCCGTGGGCCGCCGGGCCTCCTGTACGCATGCGCGCGAGAGGGAGGGGAGGGCGGGGGCTACCCCCAGAGAGCCGGAAGTGACTTCCCTAAGACAGGCGCGTCCGGCGGTAAGGCCTAAGCCGGATGTTGCGCGCTTAACGCGCTTCCGGCGAGTTGCCAGGGCAGCGGCTGTGGAGGGGTGGTTGTACGCGTGAGCGGCGCGGCGCGAGGCAGGCCAGCATGTCGGGCGCGGGGCTCGAGAAGCCGCAGCTGATCGCGCACTTGCAGCAGGCGCTGAGCTACACCGCCTTCCAGGCCCTCTGGGTGCCGCGCAGCGCGCGTTTCCTCTGCCTCGGCAGTCTCCCGCGCGGCGCCGGCATCATTCAGCTCTACGAGCTGCAGAGTGGCCGCCTCAGCCTGCTGCGCCAGGTCCGCGCCGCCTCGGGTGCGGGGGAGGGGCTGGTTGCTATGGCGACGCATGGGCTGGGCGGGCTCCCCGGCGTCATGTCCCGTTCTCCCCTACCCTCCCGGCGCACCGTGTGGCTCCAGCGGATGCAGGGAGCACTGGGTTGGGAGCAGAAAGCAGAGAAGTTGATGATAGGGCAGGGAGCACAGGGTGGAGAGCAGAAAGCAGAGCAACTGATGGGACAGGGAGCAAAAAGCAGAGCAGCCGATCAGATGGGGGATCAGAGTGACACTGGCAGGGAGGGTGCAGGGATAGCTTGTGGCAGGACAGCTAAACTGGTTGCTCTCTGCCCTGCTTCTCCAGCCTAGGGAATGGGCTCCTTTATTCCGCTCCCATCCTGATGCTCGCTCTGTTATTACTTCATTTGTTATTTTCAAGATATTCCTTTGCAATGAAAATGCTGCAGACTTCCTTCTTCGCTGGACACATTGCCCTCTGTCAGGCCCACAGTTCCCATAAGCACAAGATTTGCTGCTCTTTCTCCATCTAATGAAGGAGTGCTGTTTTATGGGGTGGGGAAAGGGGGAAGTTAGTTAAGTACCCCGGAGGGATGTGGTTGTGTTGCTGATGCTGTCTGTATCAGGCCTTGCTCAAAGTTGCAGGCATGGTGGCAGCTTTTGAGGCACACAGACTTCTCACGTGGAGCTGCAGTGTTTAAAATGCAAGTAACCTTTGAGGATTTGCTAATCTTCAGGAGTGGGAGTGTCTCAGGTGCATAAAGTACCCCCGGGGGCAGGAGTGCATAAACTTTCTCGGTTCACAGTTCTGTAGGGACAGCACGTGGAGGGCACGGACTGCTTCAGACTAATAGAAAGAATAGCTTAATTATCTCTTCTGTGCGTACTGTTAGGCCTCTGGGATGAGCTCAAATTCGCCTACTTTATAATTGCAAATCATTAGAGACCACAGACCTGTCAGCCTTTGAATATCATTAGTGAGCAGTGGGGCAGCGGAGGAGAATTACCGTATTGACTCAAATCCAAGACGAGGTTTCTTCCCTCTCCATTCAGCATAGGAGGACCCACTCATCTTGGATTTGAATACAAGGCAGGGAGCAGGCAGGTACTGCAGGCTCCAGCCCACCCCTGACCTGGTCTCAGAATTAGAGTCAGAGCCACAACCCGAGCCACTCCCACAACCTGCCCCTTCACCTCTGCTTCTGTTCCTTCTGCCCCTCTGCTGTCCCTCGCCCACATGCTCAGTTTTAGCTCTGGCCTGGGGCACAGAGTACATACTGGCTTCTGGCCCTGCCCAGCCTAGCAGCACCAGTTGTGATGGCAACAGCTCTTGCATTGGCTTCAACCCAGAGCTGAAATTGCCACCACTGCAACTGCTGCTGCCAGGCTGGGCAGGGGGCTGGAGTTAGAGGCATGACTGAAGGAAGTGGCACCAGGAAGGTGGGGCCCACAGGCAGTGGTGGGTGAGCAAGTGACAGGGATAAGTGTTGGGGGCAGGGGGTGGGGAGGACAGGTGAGGAGAGGATACAAATGGCAGGCAGCAGGGTAGGGGTGCAAGATGCAGGGAGTAGTCTATTGGACAGCAATGACAAGTAGGGGATGCACATGCACCCCCTGGCAGCCAGCACTCTCCAATTAGGTGACAGGCAGGAGCACAGGTGGCCCCCCCTTGTGAGTGCTGGCTGGGTAGTGGAGGTAGCAGGAAGAGTGCCACTGGCACTTGCAGGAGTGTCACTTGCACTTCTGGGTCGGTGTGAGTAGCTGCTGGGGGACTGCCCCCGGTTGGCGAGATTGGCCGCAAGGGACCCCTCCCCACAGTTGGCGCAATCGGTTGCAGGGGGACTCCGCTCCCCCCCCGGTTGCTGACTGGCCTCTGGAGGGGCATGTCCCCCCCCGACTCAGGAGGTATCAGTCACCCATGCCATTGGACACCCCAACCACCTGCCCCGCTGACGCCTGCTCCTTTGCCATTGCTTGCCTCCCCATCGCTGCTTTCACCACCACTGAGGTGGGGTGGGGACAAATTTAAGATGACCCTCCAAGAATTAGATTCTGTACTTGGAAAATTATAACAAGCTATCAAATTGCCCATCAAGAATGATGGTGGGGTGAGGGGGGAGGAGGCAAGTGCTGCCACCGCCCCACGCCACTGTCGCCTTCAAGGAGCGGGGTGGCGGGGTCTCTGTCCTCGCCATCATTTTCCCCACCCCCACACTGCTGCTGTGTCCCCGTCATCATTCTTGACAGGCGGTTTGCCCTGTACACAGCACTGGCTGGAGCCTTGCCCCACCAGGAGCCATGCCCCCAAGGGCGTTACAGACCAACACACATAGACGGACTAAGCCCATGTGTGTGTATATATATATATATATATATGGGTTTATATATATATAAATAAAAAGTAATTTATACATTTTTCATATATATCTAATTATTGGGGGGGTTGTCATAAATTTGAAGTCATCTTGGATTCAAGTAAATACAGTATTGTTTTATAGAAGGTTTAATTTGCATTTTATACAGGAAACCCTCGGTATTCGTGGGTTCAGCATTCGCAGTTTCAAATATTTGCAAATGCTGAACCTTCATTGTAAATACACTTTAAACACTTACCGGAGCTCCTCTGGAACTTCACGCTTGCTGCTGCCAGGCTCCTCCTGTTGCCACCGGAACCGTGCCCCCCACACCATGAACTCAGTGCCCCATTCGTAGATTTAGCCATTTGCGGGTATCATGGGAATGTATCACCTGTGAATGGCGAGGGTCGCCTGTACTGACTTCTAAGAAATTGTTTCTGCAATAGTGTTTTGGTGATCACTTTAATGTGCTGATGAAAAAAAGTTACCTTTTTTTTCTTTTAAGATTGAAAAGCCCAAGCCCCTTAAATGTGGAACTTTTGGCGCTTCATCTTTGCAGCAGAGATATCTAGCAACTGGAGATTTTGGTGGCAACCTTAATATATGGTGAGAATTTTTCATGTCTTCTCTTGCTACTTATCTTCATGTGATGTATTTTGAGTCAGTATTACTGATTTTGCCTAATTTTGATGTGTTAACATTTATAGGTATCCCTGGGGATTCTAATTATTGTATTAAGCCTTATATAAATAAGTAGAAAGAAACAGTCAGCATCTGAAGTTTACAGTCCAAGGAAAACTGTTAAACCAAACTACATCAAAGCAAAAAATTGTTTTCATATAAATCTTTTGACTTGAGATAGCAGAATTCTCAGTTGCTTATGATTTGTGTCGAGCTCTGATTGAAAGGGTATTTGAATTCAGTTAAAATGATCAAAACATTTTAAAAGCAAAACAATTTATTAAGAAAGGAGTTATTAGCTGTAATTAGCTAATTTAATTAGTAGGTTGTAGTTCCCACATCCTTCTGGATTTTCAAATCTGTAGATCTGAGCCTTTCAAGCCTAGTTTGTATTCATAAAGTAGTAAAGGAAAACAGTCCATCCTCCATCTTCAACTCCAAGCTATTTCCTAACTTTGAGCAAACTAAATTAAACCAAATAAAATGAAATAAATAATTCTTTCTGCACCTGTTGAAGACATAACAGCTGTCAAAAGCAGACTGATCACTTTGCATACCCTGATTCCGATGCTTCATGTGTGACTGCACTCAGTTCAGTGGTTTTGAATTTCTTTAAAACTTCAGCAACAAACATGTACTGTTTGAATTATAATTTTTAATGAATTTAAAGTTATTTTAACATTGCATTATGATTTAGATCTTTACTCAGGTTGTCAACTTTTTTATAATATATTTTTCTTTCAAAAATATTTTTAAGTTCTAATTTAAATTTAAAATAATCATATAGTTTTATCCGTCATGAATTTGACACCAACCTGAGTAGTAACATAACATGAAGGTTTCACCATCATGACTAGTTAAACATAACACACAAATGCAATGCTGCACATGCTGCATAGCATATTTCTTCCATAAGGTGTTGCAGAGTTATAAGTGTTTCTGGGTGGTTTGATATCTGTGGGTACTGTGGTCCCAGTCGATCCATTCTCTAGTAATCTTTTCAGGTTCTGGATATGAATTTCCATTGCTCATTAATAACAGATAATTAGAGGTGCACTGATATATTGGTCGCATATGGTATCAGCATCAATATCAGGAAAATTAACATTATTGGCAATCAGCCTTTTTTGGCTGATATTGTCACTGATAAATCCTGCGTACATGTGCACAGCTGCAGCTCACATGTGGCCAGGAATGCAGCCTTGCAGCTTGGAGAGCATGTCTGACCGGTATGTCTGTGGGGGAAAAAGGGGCCCCTGTGGGGGGAAAAGGGGCAGATAGAGGCCCCTATGGTGAGGGAGGAAGTGGAACAGGGTCATGGGTAGGCACTGCCCAGCCAGGGTGGTGAGCATGACCCTGGAGCTGCAGATGACTTGCCCGGGGGGCGCGGGGAGGTGGGGCTGCTCCCTGCTGCTACATGCACCCCTGGGGGAGGCATAGGGGGCATGTGTCCCCACAGATTTGTGCATGGGGCAAGGGCAGGCTTCCCTCTGCAGGCTTGGGGTTAGGGGCTGCGCCAGCCTCTTCCTGGTGGGGGGCTGGGCTGAGGGGCATATGCCCCCCATACCTTCCCTGGGGGTGCACGCAGCAGTGGGGAGCCACCCCACCCCCCATGTTCCCCAGACAAGCCGCCCATGGCTACATCTCGCTCCCCATCCCAGCTGGGCAGTGTCTACCCCTGCCTCATTTCCTCCCTCACTATGGGGGCCTCGATCTGCGCACCCCCCGACCCTCCCCCACACAGACTTACCTGCAGGGCACTGCTCTCCAAGCTGCAGGGCTGCATTCCTATAAATCGACTATCGGGTTAGTAATCAGACAGCATGGCTGGTTCATAATCGCCCGTCAGTATCGGCCAGGAAATTCTATCGGTGCACCCCTACGTACAATATCAGGGCTTAACATTCTTTCAGACTAATTTCTGTTTCTTAGATTTTGATTAGCTTTAGTTGACTTTTTTATCCTAACTGAAGAAAATGGCTCTTGTTTGCTAATTCTGACCATAATGAAGATGTCCTGCCATAGTGCATGAAATGTTTTTTAAATATACCAAATAGAATATATTATTTAAATAATATATGAATTAAGGCGTATAGGTGCCAGCATGTAAGCATTTGCAAGACACCAGTAAATAAAGTCAGATGACTGTTAAAAGGTCAATACCTTTTTTTTCTGAGTTAATAGCAGAGCAGTTTGGAACTGCAGTTAGAATTGTATATTTAAGTGGAAGCAGCTTCTTCCCTTTCCATTTTTGATCTTTATAAAAGCCAATATCTTGGTTGCAACTGCTTTATTCTTTCTGCAAGTTTGTGTCACTATATGTTGCCCCTCTGGGAATGTGACATTACCTTTTTTGTATACTAATGCTAAGTGTCAAGGAACATGTGTACAGTATGCTGTTTATTCTTTTCTGTTGTCTAGGAACCTGGAAACTCCAGAGATCCCAGTCTACTCTGTGAAGGGCCATAAAGAAATCATAAACAGTATTGATGGAATAGGCGGCTTAGGGATTGGGGAAGGAGCACCAGAAATTGTGACAGGCAGCCGAGATGGTGAGTTAGCCGAAATGGTGAGTTAGCATGTTCTGTGTTAACATTTATAATCAGCGTTATAGGTGTGCCTGGGGGCTCTAATCATTATATTAAGCCTTATATAAATAAGTGGAAAGAAACAGTCAGCACCTGAAGTTTACAGTCCAAGGAAAACTGTTAAACCAAACTATATCAAAGCAAAATATCATTTTCATATAAATCTTTATTCTCTGCCTGGAAAATGCTGTCTGTGGACCTTGATTGAAGACTATGGAGCTAGTTTGTCTTGAATTCACAACAGAACTTCAGACACCTGTTTTGATCTGTCAGCGAGCTTGTTGTAACCAAACAGTAACCAAATACATTGGACATGTAATGCAGGATTAGGTAAGAATCTAAGGTAAGGGTTCCCAAACTGTGTCAGAAAAGCTTAACGTTTCATTCATTTACTTCACAACCATTTTTTATGAAGGTAGCTTATGATCCAATGAAGCTTAGAGAGCTTTGGACCTAATGCAGGGATTGTAGTAATGCCAACTCTTGCAAAATTATCGCAAGAGTCGCGGTTTCTAAGTAAAATTAAGTCTGTCTCATGATCTCTTGATAGAACTGTCATATCTCAGGATTTCTTCTAGCACGTGTAGAGCAGTGCCCAGCAGATAAGGCTGTGGAGGGGGAGAGGAAAAGTGTTGGCAGGGGATCAGATTGAGGCCCTCATGGTGAGGGAGGGAGTGGGGCAGGGGCTGGGGTGAATGGGGCTCTGGTTGCAGGGCGGGTCATGCAACAGAGCTGCGGGTGGCTTGTCCAGAGGTGTTTGGGGGAACAGGGCACAGCTCTCTGCCGCTACATGCACCCCCGGGAGAAGCATGGAGAGCACGTGTCCCCCAGATTTGCTTGTGGGGCAGAGGCAGGCTGCCTGCTGCTGGCTGGGGTTCTGTACCTTGCTGCCTTTGCCCGAGGAGCCGTACAATGCCATGTTGTATCTCCTGCTGCCAGGTGGGCAGAGCATGCATGGCACGGCCAGTGCGCAGCTCCCAGGGCAAAGGCAGCAGGGCACAGAGCCCCAGCCCGTCTCTGCCCCGTGTACATATCTGGAGGGCACATGCCTCCCATGATGCATGCAGGGGTGCATGCAGCAGTGGGGAGCTGTGCCCTTACCTTTCCTACCCCGTGCCTTTGGATGAGTTGCCTGCAGCTGTGTCACATGACCTGCCCCAGCCCTGGTGCCACAGTCACCCCAGTCCCTGCCCTACTCCCTCCCCCACTGTAGAGTCTTCAATCTGCCCTCCACCCCTTCCCTTCCACAGACTTACCTGCTAGGCTCTGTCTGTGTGTCTTGGAAAATGCTAAACACACAACAGTCCAGCAGATGTCGTCCAAATTGTAACAACACGTAGGAATTTTTTTTCCTTCTAAATCATTATCAGTTGTAGTAATATAGTTTTTGTATTAATCTCTGACATATTATAAGTTAAGTAAGTGACTAATGGGATTTAGAAACCAACAGTCAATATATCTATATTGCTTTATACTTCAAAAATAGCATCTCATGATTTACATACCAAGTCTCTTAATTTTTAAGAGTTTATCTCTATTTTTGACACGGTAGGGTTGGCAATACTGGGCTTGGCAACTTTTTCAGAGTGGCTGGTTGTAGTAATGCAACTGTCCATTGACAGGCCGGCACTTCTGACTTGGCTACTGCCACTTCTCTTCAGTACCAAATTGAAGCCACTACCCAGGTGCCACTGAATGCCACAGAATCTCCCACTGCTCAAATGCTGCTGATGTCTGGGCTTTGCAGGCCAGATGAAATCACTTGGTGAGCCAGATCTGACCCCTGACTTAAGGCATTGCTTTGCAGCAATTTAACTAGTCTGCTTTTGGGTGCATCTACTCCCTTAACTTTTTTTCCAGTAAAATGCTTCATTGCCAGCATTCTGAAATAATTTCTCCTCTTCTGAGCTCAAGTAATGTAAAGAACGATTCAACTTAAAGCAAGTTTTCCAATCCTCTTCCTCTGGCTTTCATTCCTGTTGCTTGTTACCAGGTCATTAGTATTCTTACAGTCTTCTCTTCAGTACTTTCTCCTTATATACAGTAGTCTTGTCACTTGATTGTTACTTAATACTCATCACCCCCTTCCCCATTCTCTTTATCTTGGTCATTCCTTTGCAGAGCCCAGAATGCCACTTCTTAAAGTAACCAAGGTTTAGAACAGAACTGGGTGGCTTCAACAGCTATGCTTAATGGAGAGAGATTCCTTATTTTGTGTTGCCTTTCCTTTAGTATTTATCTATTGGGCAGAATGTTTTATATCAAATAACAGTATTTCCAAGAAGCTGCTGCTACTATATCGATGAATTACCTGTCTAGTCATGGCTCTCAGGCTAGCAGTACTGTACAGTATTTAAAATTGCCATTAGAGGAATGAACCTGTTATTTTGAAACAGGGTCAGAGCTTTGGGGTAGCAATTCACTTAAATGCGGTAGTAGGAAAGACAGGGCAGTTAGCAGTTCTGAGTACCCATGGAAAAGCTAGTGTGTTCCTTTCAGTTTTGTTTGCTGAAGTTACTGAACTGTCCAGTCCATTACTGTGATTGAGTGCTGTTATTTCTCAGCCTGGTACATATAAGGCAAGATTAGCATTTTCAGCTATGGGTATTCTTTCTGTCATTGGATATGGGTACCATTGTATTGCAACCAGATCTTCATGTGCTGGGTTTGCTATATTAAATCCTGCATGGGACAATTTTCACAATGTATTTGGAGGCTGTAGCAAATTATAGAAATATAGGAAAGTACCAAGTAAAAGAAATGCAGGTTTTTGTAAATGAGCTGGAGAAACTGTACCTCTTCCTGAGGATAAAGTTAGAAAGAAGAAAGTTAAAATTTGAAACAGACTACCTGAGGCTATGTTTGGTAAAGTAAATGGTACATTGCTCTAGATGAAATTGGACAGGTCATGTATTTTTAAAGTAGCAAAACATCTTTCCTAATTTCTATTTCGTTTTTCTACCCATTAAGTGCAATTTACTTTGCTAAAAATTAGATATACAAATGTGCTTGGAATATTTTTTTTTTAAGCTGGTTGACAAGCTGAGTTTGTATGTGGAGCATGAACACAACATCCTACTTTAGCAGCAATATAAACTCCTATATGATTCTTTATTACAGGAACTGTCAAGGTATGGGATCCAAGACAAAAAGATACTCCTGTTGCTAATATGGAACCAGTACAGGGGGAGAGCAAGAGGGACTGCTGGACAGTAGTATTTGGTAATACAGATAAACTTCTCAGTCCATAACCTTCCATGCTTCAAAATATTTATCCATTTCTCTAGCCCAGGATTCCCCAAATTTTACTAGTTCATGAATAGTAATACTGAGCAAATCACACATTGTGGGCAACATCACATCTTATTATACCTGTCAACCTCAGTTCTAACCTTTTAATTCCCTGTGTCACTAAGCAACGTTGTAAGGTCTTATGTGCTGCATGTTGGGCTGAGGACCACTGATTTAGCCCTTTCAGCTCTCTGTGAAAGTAGGTGTTGAAGGCTCTGAACAATTAACACAAATAGTGACTATCTTGATTAAATTTAGAGGAAGAAAAGTAGCAGTGTTTGAAATAGACCACTCTGTGATTATTATCCCCGTGTCATTCTTGCAGTGACTTTGGGTATGGAAAACAGCTTGTCAGTAGCTGCCTTTCCTCTCTCTTGTGTGGCCCTTTCTGTGTTCAGCTCCCTGTGATATAACTCATGTTGAAAGATTGTGCAGATATCTTAGTACCATAGACGGTAAATGTTTTATGGGACTATCCATAGCAGACTCTATACTATGTCTCTCAGGTGTGTTGGTTTCTGCTGACTGGCTTATTTATTCCTAGCCTGTGTTTTTGGAAAAGGGCAAATCTTGCAGCAACATATTCTGAAAACAGTGAGGCTTAGGCTCAGTGTTATCTTCTTTGGTAAGCCAGAGGCAGGTGGCTTTCAGTGATGAAGGTCTTTCTGTTTCTTGAAAAGTTAACCCTAGTACTTTCAGCCGTATACTGCTTGACTGTCACCAATCTCAGTAGCGTAATTCCATCTTGTCAGGTGCTCAAGTATTAACAAAAGTCCTTAACTGGGAACTAACGGGGGGGGGGGGCAAACTAGAAATCTGATGTTTGTTTCACACCCACACACACACACCCACACCCCTTTTTCCTGTGAAGGAGGCAAGCTGCTGTGTTTTGTACAAGTTTGTATTTCTGGTTTGTTTCAGTGTTTTGTGTCAGGTTCAGTGAGTTGTACAGCTTCTTAATAAGTGTGTGTATTACTGCAGCAAAATCTGCAGTAAGGAGGTGTAGTTTATTGGCCAGCTAGTGGAGGGCATTGCTCATTGCTGTTTAAATGCTCTGAGTTAGTAATGATTCCACTGCGACTTGGAGGCTTTGTTCTGCTTTGACAAAAGGAGAGTGTTCAGTACCTTCACTAGCATTTCTTTTTTCCCATTTGTACCAGCACTGCTTAAATCTTGCCTGCACTCAATTTGAGCCATCTCCTCTTTTGTCCATGTGCTAATTTCTTCGTGGGTACATCTGAGCGTATCAGCTGAGGAGGAGTTAGGGAATTAAGTGTCACCAATGCCATAGGTCTGAGGACCTCACCAAGAATAGCTCTACAGACACTGAAGAGGAGAGAGACAGTCTGATCCCCGGAGAGTTCCACATATGAGGGCTCTGAGGCATGATAAGCAGCTTTCTGTCATCATCCTTTGAGTCCTGTGTCAGATAAATGAGCCTTAATGATGTTAAACCATAGGCCTTGTATGCAGGTCAGCAGTACTTTGTGAGAGAATATGCTGACATTTGCAAAGAAAGTTGTTTTTTTTCTGTTAGACATGTGTTTTATGCCATTTCTCTCATATGAAACTTATAAATGGTTCAGAGTGAAGTCAGATGCCACATTTTCAGTAATGTGTAAGTATAGGTCAGGATGAAGTCCATTTTGCTAGAATAGTCTGAAAATTCATAATTTCATTGAGGTGCAGAGAAGTGTCTAGTTTTCCAAACACTAAAGCTGTTTGGTTGAATCGGTATGCAGAAAGTGGTTGTTAAGCCAAGGAACATATATTGGTAAGCAAATTACAACCATTTTAAAGGAAACATATCTATCTTATGAGGTGGCATATTAACATAGCTAGAAATAGAGGGTTGAGAAGTACGAGAACTTCATAAAGGACAGAATTTGCCATTTTGAGGCTAAACTTGATATGTTACATATTTAAAAACCCAATCCTTCATCTAACATCTAATTGCAAATATTTCAACTGTAATTTTATTCATTTGCATAAATGCAAGCTCAAATGTCAAGTTCAGTGCAGTCAGGATGCTGTTATACATCTAAATGTTCATTTCTTAATTTCCAGGCAATGCCTACAATCAAGAAGAACGTGTTGTGTGTGCTGGCTATGACAATGGCGATATCAAATTATTTGACTTAAAAACCATGTCATTGCGGTGGGAGACCAACATTAAGAATGGGGTACTGCATCAACTTGAAATGTGTTCAGATTTGCAGAGAGAATATACTAAAGGTTTTTTGTCCCACTGGGCCACCAAATGCTAGTTTCTGGGTTCTTAACTGAGAACTTTCTTCTTGGCTACAAAGGTGTGATCTCAAAATTATTTTCTTTTGAAAATTGTCACCACAGGTAAAAGGGTAGAAAACTACCATCCTACTTTGTTAGCTTTTAAAGTATGCTGTGACTTTTATCTGTTTACTCAGATATTTCTTGAGTACCTTTTTTGAATGGGTTCCTTTTTTAATAATCATGCTCAATCAGTTATTTCCAAATTCACAGCATTCTCTTTACTGTTGTAATTATAATCTGAGTTTATGATGGACCCATAAATTACAAATGTGAAATAAGTGATTCTGTGATGAGTTAAATTGTAAATTAAATGCTTCTTTGTGTGTTACATTTCCAGGTTTGCAGTGTGGAGTTTGACAGAAAGGATATAAATATGAATAAATTAGTGGCTACATCACTTGAAGGAAAGTTTCATGTGTTTGATATGAGAACTCAGCATCCAACCAAAGGCTTTGCTTCAGTTTCAGAAAAGGTATAAGTAAGAAGTTATTCTTTTTAAAGGAAGTTTCATACTCTTGCAGCTCTTGAAATATTGCAAACTTAAAACTATTGTATTTAAGGTATAGGGGATAACCAAATTCTTAGGTTTAGATAACAAATCAGGCATTTGAAAGATAGGTATCACTTAAAATGTGTAGAGTGAAGCAAGCTGCCCGTTCTGTATGCAATATTGCATGAGAGACTTCAGGCTCAGGCTCTTCTCTTGATCACCTTCTACCTTGAGAGAAAGGAGTGTCATGTAATTCAGTAGACTTTCAGTTGTGGCATATATTTCCTCTGCATGGCATAGAGTACAGATGAATAGCGCATTACCACTAGGTGTGATAACTAATAAATGTTCTAGCTGGGGTATCAGATTATTCTGTTTACTTGTGCTTTATTATTTTATCATTTCGTAGGCAGATGTGTACATGTAGATTGAAAAGCAATTTCAATCTAGAATGACGGAGCTTGTTCAAAGCCAAGATATGAATGTTAATTGTGTTTGATGATAAAGAGTTGTTTGGAGCTTACTGCAATGGGTCTCATGTTTGTAGACCACTTGGTAACCGAGAACCAAGCAAATTGTGATTGGGATAGCAGGAGCGGAAGTGGATCTCTTACATGATGATGCGCCACAGAATTCTAAAACTGGAGTGCCTAGTGATCTTTTCCCTAAATCTGTAAAGCATCGTATTGATTGAAGCAGATACTTCATGAGTAGCAGTTTGATTATAAGTTAAATTCTTTTGAAAACACAGGTATTTTAATGAGAAAATTCCATAGGACTGTTTCATTTGTAATGTCAGTTTATCAACTTTAATTTGTTCCTTTTAGGCCAGGGACCAGCGTTTTTTTACAAGCCATAGGCCAGAACTACCCAGCTCTGGTCCAGCATGGGCTGGGAGCTGTTGGCAGCAGAGAGTGTTTTCCCTGTGCTGGGAGCTGTACCCTTGCTGCTGCTGCCATTTTCCCCCAGTCCTGTGTTCCTCAGCTGTGGTGTGGGTGCAGCTTCCATCTGTTGGGGAAACATCCTGGGACCAGGTATTTGTCATCTGTGTCTCTGCTGCCACTGCTTCTTACCTCTCCCTCCTTCGTTTCCCTCCCTGCCACGCCCTGGCTGTGGCACAGCTGGAAGCTGCTCGGCTCCCTATGAGCTGGAAGCTGTGCCTGTACTACAGCTGGTTGAAGCAATGCAGACACAGTTTGCAGATGCCCAGCCCTGGAGCAGCTGCCCACCAGCCAATGAAAGCTGTGTGTGTGCTGTAGTTGAGGAGCAGGGTTCTGGAGGGAGTGGCAACAGCCTAGACACAGGTCCTAGTGTTAGGCTCCAGCCCTGGTGCAGGCAAAGCCTTTGGTGCTGATGCACTGCCAAAGGCACCTGGCCCACATTGGACTGGAGCTGGGAGGTGTAGCAGCAGCATTGGAGCACCTGGAAGCTGCCCAGCTCCAGCACAACTCCTCACTGCCCAGCCCTGATTCAGGTACAAGTAAAACTCTCCAGATCCACAGGCTGGATCCAGTTGCAACTTGGGCCAGATCCAGCATATGGACCACATGTTTCTTGAACCCTGATTTTAGAGATCAGAGATTGCGGTAGATAAAATGTATTGGTGTAGAGTACACGGCTGACTATTAAGCTTTTAAAAATAATAATGGAAATCCTGTGTTCATTTTGTGCTGTGTTAAACGCTTCCTTTGGGAGTGTGTGCAGAATCCTACCCGCTAGCTTAGATTACTTATAGTTTGTGAAGACTTTTGGTTTGTTCTTTATGTTGTTAAATGCCCATCTTACATTATTTAAAGTCCAATTTAAATTGATTCAGTATGAAGACAGTTTTCATGGCTGTTGTAATAAGCGTGCTAGAAAATTCTGGGGATTGTTTAAAAGGGTCATTTCTGGCAGTAGTTATGCGTGTAAAAACTACTTCATTTCTGACGTCAGAAATTTTGTAGCTACATGATTGTCATTTTTGACCATAGGTCTGGTCCTGTGCACCTTTATGCACACAGAGTGCCTATACATGTATGGGGTAATTACAACACATCCGAGCAGACTCGATTAATCTGCTGGAGCATGGTAACTACTGTACTGCAGCAGACTCCAGTGTCACGTGTATCCATGTCCCAGCACTGAAAAATGGCAGCAGGGGCACTTAAACTAAAGCTTGTTCAGTGAGCTTTAGTTAAAGTGCCCGCACCGCCATTTTTCAGCACAGGGACCCTGATACACATGATGGTTCAGGCACTTTAATTAGAGCGACTCCCCGAGTTGCTCTAATTAAAGCCCCGCCCCCCACTCCCGGAACACGTGGCCGTAGAGAACTCTCTTCACCGTGAATGCTGTGTACCTACAGAGGTTGGAGGGGCACGGCGACTGCCCACAGGTGGTGATGTCAGCAGCAGGGACGTGGTGGCAGTGAGCAGGGAGCTCCCTTAGGCAGCCACAGCGGTGTTTGGGGGAGGGAGAGAGGTGGTGAGTGCTGACGAGTGGTCAGCAACCACCTGCAGGTGCCACCAGCAGAGTCGGTGGCACTTTTTACAGGGGGTACATTGCCAATCTCAGGGGGTGCACGTGCACCCACATGCACCCCCTATGTGTTGCCAGTGCTCCTCACCTATGTAGTCTTACTCCTAAAGTGGACTTGAAAGCTTGAGGCATAATTACATTCACTAGTAGTACCACTGCTTTCAACTGGACTACTCACATGCTTTAAGTATATGTGTAAGCGATTATAGCAGCACGACTTATTATGTCCTTTCTCATGAGATTAATTGGCAATTTACTTTTATACATTTTTGGTATTTATTAGGCTCACAAATCTACCATGTGGCAAGTTCGGCATCTGCCTCAAAACAGAGATGTATTTATGACCAGTGGAGGGGCCGGGAACCTTCATCTCTGGAAATAGTAAGTGTCTGCTACTTAAGCCACATGGGTGGAGGGGAAACAAACAGGTATTGGGTTTGTTTTTTCTTTTAAAGCTGTTCCTGAAGAACACGAGTGAGTCCTATTTCCTGACTCAAAATGTACTTGGTTTAATTCACTACATCTATAAATACAGGGAGATGCAAGAGATCATTTCTCATGTGACACCTTGATGTAAAAGGCTGAATTAATCTCTGGTGCAACTTGGAAGGCCTCAATGGTCACATCCCTATGAGTGTGCATGTTTCTAATGGTACAAATATGTCCCTGGGCATGCCCCTGCATGTGTGCTCTGGCACATAGCAAGATGATTTGAGTAGGGTAGGGGAGGCTGAGCCAGCACCTGTGCTGGCTCCAGCAGCCTTACCTGAGGTCCTGGGGGCCTGTCAGAACGTGGCTCTGGCTGGCCAGGCTCCCTTTCTGGCGGTGCATCCTGCTGGCATGTGCACCGCACTGCTTTTTTCAGTGGCGGGTTCTTGGGGGTTTCTTTTACACTGGGATCTTTTGGTGTCAAAAAAGCCTGCCTCATTGCAAATTAGCAGTGTGGCAAATGCTTGCACATGTGCTTCAAACTGTTTTGAGGTGCCACCAACCACACATACACACTTATAAGGGATGTGCTCAGTGAGTTTACAGTAAGAATGAGTTTGATCCTAGACGTTTAACTTTATAACATCTGATTCTCATTGTGTTATCAGTTAAATAAAGAAAACCCCATATTTTAAAAAAGATTTCTTATTGCATCTATTAGTAGTAATAAACATTAAAAAAAGTTCAGACTGCATCTAGTTAAATATACCTGGCATTTTACATTTTTCAAATCTTTATGCAAACATAAGGTCCTCAGTGTCCACAGGAGGTAGTTCACTGTTATTTTCATTTTTACATATGGAAAAACTGAGACAGTCAAGGAACTTGCCCATGGGCAGAGTCAAAGAGTTGGTAGCAAATGAAAGAGTATCATAACTTTTGCTCTTCTAGGCATATTGTTTTTCACACTGGAAGCCTCACCCTGAGACACCACAGTCAAGTCCTTTTTGGAAGCTGACCTGGATTTAGATGAATGTGCATGTGGCACGTGCTCCTTCCATGTCTTGGAGCACTGCTCTGTATGGTCTTACAAAATGGGTAGGGTCACTGAATCCTTTCAGTTTTCTTGCTGTCTTACCCCCAAAGTGGACTTGGAAGTTTGAGGCATAGTCACATTGACTAGATTGGCTCAATAACCTCAAAGCAAGCCATCCTCAGTTATTTGAGCAGGATGGCTATACAATAAGGGGTCTGGGTTTGTTCATTAACACAGGCCTAAGGTGATGCATATGAGCCTGTATGAATTCTCTGAGCTGGATTGAATTTCATCAAGAAATATTTATCAGTAATGCATTTAAGTGGACATATCTGGGGACACTTGTGATTCACTTTTTTTTTTTAGCACATCTGTGTTCAGTATCTCTAGGTTATGGGAACACTTTTTCTGTGAGCTTGCAAAAGTATATATAGCATGTAAATTATGTTATGAGGCATTTGTATATGAAACATTTTTTAATCCTTTATTTTTTTTCTTTGTCAGTGAGTACCCTGCTCAGCGCTCAAAGAAGGATTCAGAAGGAGTTGAAATGGGAGTTGCAGGTTCAGTCAATCTCTTGCAAAATGTGACTTTGTCAACACAGCCTATTTCTAGTCTTGACTGGAGCCCAGACAAAAGGGGCCTCTGTGTCTGCACTGCATTTGACCAGACTGTGAGGGTACTGATTGTTACTAAACTCAACAAAATTTGACAGAGAAACTATGATTTCCAATGTGGAAAGTGACTTAATTTGTGGCTTATATATAAGAGAAGGAGAAACTCTTTCTTATACCTTGAATTTCTTTCTTAATAAACTAGCTTAAAGAATTTTAAAAAATCTTTCTATTGAAAGTTCAAATAAACTCAGCTATGGTTGTTCAACTATAGATTATGCTACTGTGACTTAGAGAAAGTTGCCTAGGCATAAAACTTTTACCTTCTTGAAATATATGTTTATATTCTTAAAATAAAATGTGCCTTCTCTTTTAACCTACCTACACATTAGGAATTATTTTAAGTTCTAATTTAACTGCAGTGTATCTCATGTAGCACTAATCTATTCATTCTTGTTGCATTGGGTAATTGAGCACTTAGAAATGCATTTCAGGCAAAATAACTTTCTCTGTACTTGACCACATCTCTTAAAGTATGTTGTAGCGACTCAGACTACCTTATTGTGTTTAAAGATATTTAGAAACTGTAATGAATATTAAGATGTGAAATACTCACATCTATTGGAATAGCTATTTCCTTAGAAATGGTATTACAATTAAGATGTTGAACAAAAGGACAGGGTTTTTTCATGGTTATGGCTCTTTTTGGATTTTATTTTGGTTTCTTACCAATTTGTTACATGGCATCCTACAAATATAAATGTCTGGAGTGTTGTTTTAACATGAAGCACATTATTCAAGGAACCAGAGCTCTGGAGGAGGATACAAGTGTATTGGTTTACTAAAAGAAAACAGTTTTTAACAGTAAGCTACTCCTGTTGCAAAATGATGGATTTGTCTGGTTCTATCCTTGTTCTTTCCATCATGAAAAGCTTTCTACAGCAGTCAAAATAATAGTATTTTTAAAAATCAGATGTTAGCATAATATTCATAAGATAAACATATTAAAGGAACACTGTTAAATAAAAGTATATTTATAATTTAAAAAAAAAATTAAGTAGCTGCAGTCACCATTTCTGCCCCTGAGTTTCCCTGCCATTTTCCCCTTATTTTCGAACTGTTTCTCTCCCCTTGAAAGATGCAAGTAATATTAGGAAAAGCAGTGAAATGGACTATTCATTCTGCAGTCTAATCCACAGAGTAAACAGGAATGTGGAACCTGAAAAGGGGGCTGCATTTCTTATCAAGGATTTGTCTTTTGCTGTGTACACTCTGGCTTCCCCTGTGACTGCTCTGTTCAACAACCAGAGAAGAACTTTTTTCTTGTGCCCTTACATCCTGACCCAACTCATGCATGGGGGAAAGAGGCAGAAACACAAACATTGGTTTGATATATGTGAGTGTGGCAAGTGGAAAAAGGATTATGGGAGTCAAGGAGAAGCAGAATTGAGTGATGGTCTTGAACTTGTAGGCTGAAGCAAGTAGAGAGGATCCAGAGGTAGGAACCAAGAGAGACAAGACTGGTGAAATAGGATGGAATATGTAGAAGTGGAGAGGTAGGAGCTGGAGGCAGGGAGTTTGGGTGGTTAGAGAGAGAGAGAGAGAGAGGGGAGACCAGTGATTCTCATCCAGGGTGCTGCCCCATTATTGCTGCCAGGTGGAACTGCCCCACTATGCCTTTCTTTCTGAGACATATTGTGGGGCTGGATTGAGAAGTAGCTGCAGCCTGGCCTGACAGTCTGCCACAGGGTTGGTGTTGCTGACCTGCCTGAGAGCCCAGATTAGTGGCAACACCACCACTACAGACAGGATAGGGTAAATGATGTCCCTGCCTCTGTGGTTTCTGGCAGGTAAGAGGCACCCCTGGGCTTCATGTACTGAGGTAGAGGCTCGGTGGGGGTGGGCATGTCTCTTGCATGGGGAAAAGGAGGTGCTCCCTCTGCCCCTCTACAGGGAATGCTGCCAACTACAGAAAAGTTATGGAGGAATGTCTCGAGCCTAAAAAAGCTTCAGAACAACTGCAGTAGACACATGGGGACAGGGTGTATAATAGCTGGAGTACTACAATTCTTTAGGCAGACTAGAACTGAGCCCGGGAATCCTCGGTCTCCACATTCCTTTGCTGTAGGCAAACACCTGTGGAACCAGATGACAAAGCGTGTATCATCCTCCTCTACTGATTAGGTGATACAAGGTAAGAGTGTGTTCCTGCAACCAGTCATTCCCCTAGCTGGAGGACTGGAGTGGTCTAAATTGCCAACAGAATTGTGATGATAATCCATGATGAGTGTCAATACAATGCAATTTCTGTTTCCTAAAGAAAAGGAGGACACTGGAACCTCCCTCCTCCACAAAGCTAACCGTGTATGAAGGAAACAGTGAGTTTGTCAAGTCGAGCACTTAAAAGTTAGGGAATGCCAGAATTAAGTGTGTTTGCAATATGAATACTTTGCTTTGCACATACATATTACAATGCACAGTACAAATAACTTAAGCATCAGTGTCCTCATGAAGTAGCTTAATAATATCCTCATTTTTATATATGGGGAAACTGAAACTCCAATTAAGAAACTGGCCCATGGCCAAAGCCAAAAAGCTGGTTGTAACAGAATGGGTTTTATAACTCGTGCTCTGCTGTCTAGCCATGCTGGTTTTCACCTTGGAGGTCTTAGGTTCTCTGTGGGGACTGATCTGGATTTGGATGATTGTGCATGTGGGGTAGGTTCCCTTCATGTCACCCTTGTGTGATGTCACCAATTGGATAAGGCCACTGGATCCTTCAGATTTTAAAGACTATTACAATGCAGTCTTTAATTTCCCCCAATGCCTGGACCTCATTCAGTGTATAGGGTTTATGGTCCCTAAGAATGAAACAGAATTGTGCAATGAATTTGTCATCTGTAGCTCCTCAGCCTCACTTGTTGCAGAAATTGGAAGGAATTTAGTGGATGAGGCAGGGAACTGCAAGAAAAGAAACTGCTGTCTTGTGTTAAAGCACTTGTATGTTACCCTAGAGATCTGCTATTTATGCCTCTGTCCTGCTGTTGTTAAATGATGCCAGGGAAGTCACTTAAATCCCATTTTTCACAGTTTCAAGTTCATTTGCTTAGTGCCTACTGTTGGAAACATGTATTTAGATTTGGTAAGTTCTGAGCTCTTGTCATAGCAGATGAAGTCCAATATATCTGAGCTTTGAATATATTAAGTTCTTAGTACTCTGGAAAATTGGAGTCTGGGTGTCTTCAGTTCGCCACTCCATATTAGTGGGCACTTGAAAGTAATGGTTTTATTTCATTAACTGTAAAATGGGGATAATACCCTCCAGTTTCCAGAGCATTGTGAAGTATTTGTGGACCACAGAATAACCATAAGGAAATAAACTAACCCTTTACTGGAGGGAGCGTTTGGATGATGTGCCTAATTAAAGACTGCATTATGTTAACTTGGCTGCTCTGTCTGTATGCAACTTTAAGTCTGGCATTTGAGTGTTTGGCTTCACAAAAATAATGGTCTTTCAATGTAGGAGGAGCTTTTTTTGTTTGTTTTAAATACAGTATTGAAATATGTGTACAGAACCTAAACTCAAGTACAATAGGAATGTCAGGAAATAAGATGCACATACCAACCCTGAAGAATTACAGAATTTGAAGGAAATAATGCAAGAGGAAGAGTATTTTTCAGCTTTATTTTAAAGATCCATTGCAGGAATGGGATCAGTTGGCATTACAAGAGATGAGTGATAAAGGTCAACTGAAAGGAGTGTATTTGAAGAAAGGTGTGAAAGAAAAGTACTAAAATTTATTCATTTCCATATAACACTTTATATCCCTATTGGCTAATGAAATCTTGTACTCGTACATCCTTCTATAATTATGCCAATCATTTCATTGTTGATGTATTCTAGAAAACATAAAATCTTATTCTGAATAGTCTGTTCAAAGCTGTAAAGTGTTACTTCTGTGCTGTTAGTGATTTTCTTAGACAGTGCTTCTTAAGTGTAATTTATGTTCCAAGGAAAAAGAAATGAATATTAAAAATATATATATTTCTGTATTGCACATGTCACCAGGGTATTTAAATGTTGAAGGATGCTTGGAAAAGTTGTAGAAGCAGGGACTGAAGTAGCCACTTTCAGCTGATGCTCAGGTGGGTCCCTGTCACTTTCTTCCTATCCTGATTATTGTAAGGCACAGCCAGGTCAGCAAGTATGGATGTGAGGAGAAGAAATTGCTGAACCACAAGATGCAATTTGTAACTGTGTAGGGATAAGTGTTTCCCCACCAGTATCAGGTTCAGGATGCTGTTCTTGGCTGTTTCTATCTGTGGTGAGTGTGGCTTCTTAAATGGGTTCTAGACATAATGCTAATAATATTCTAGTCTTGCAGAGGACTTCACAGCATTCGGCAAGAAGTGGATTCCACTCCTATGACCTAGTTAGATGTTCTCATTTCATGGCTAGGAAGGGTTGAGACAGACGCAGCCTAACATGTGTACCTAAATGTCACAAGCTTAAATTTTTCAGCAGTGCTGAGGCAGTGACAGGAAGCAAACACATCAGTTATTTGGATTGTCCAGTACTATTTCATTAATTGCTGTATTTTATATATTCTCAGATCTACCTTGTATTGCTTATGCAGTCTTTCTGTAACAAAAACAGTACTTTTGCAGGATTTATCTCTGGTCACTAATGATAAGAGGCTTAAAAATCTGGCAAAACCCTAATATGTCTAATATGCTTTATGGAAACATCAATAATTTTACCAATGTTATGTAGACCTGATCTCCTTTCCTAATAAAAAATCAAGAGAGTTTCACTGGGCTAAGTGAGAAAACAGATCTTGTATGGGCACGTCTACACATGTAATTAATGTGCAGAAAGCTTACTGCGCAGTAAACTTTCCCTGGGAGTGCATCTACACATGCACCCATTACTTTTTGTGTTAAACTAGCTTGTTATAACAACACTTTGCCTATAATGCCTTCCATGGCAGGATCTTAAAGTGCTTTAGAGATGGTAATGAATTAGTCTGCTGACATTGGGAAGTTAGACGGCTTCGCCTTTAAAAAAAGAAATGGAGGCACAAGCAATTTAACAGCCACATTTTCAAAAGCTGTCTAATTTTGGATGCCTCAATTACAGTTGCCTATGTAGAGTGATTTTCAGAAGGGCTTAGAAATGTGACTCCTGCTGAATACAGCTGTAAATGCTTTCTGTTTCCAAAAAAAATCAGACTCTGGAATCTTGAATTTTGTACCAAAATTCCAGGCCATAAAAATGAAAGCTGTTTTAGAAAATTTGTGAATCTATGGCCCAAAGTCACAAAGGAATGCTGTACCAGACCTAAGAGTTGGAGTGTGCCTCTTGCCTATACTCTAGTGTTGGTAAAAATGGCATTGGGCATTTCTGTTTTTGTTGTTTCCCATGGATAATTGGATAAAATGTGCTCAAGCTTACAAGACAGACTGGGCTGGCAGCTGGGGGGGAAAAAAGCATTAATAATACAGGCAGTCCTCAGACTTACCGTGCCCTGGTCTGGGGGCACATGCCCCACCCCCCTCATGCCCTACTGCTGCTCACCAAGCTGGGACAGGGTAGGCGTGGGGCAGAGCTGTGGCTGGTCTGGGGGTGGGGGGCATGGCTTGTCTGGAGGCAGCGCAGCAGCCTGTCCCGCACTTGCCCTGCCCTGAGCGGGTGAGCAGTGGGAGTACATAGCTCCTGCTCCCAGTGCAGCCCCTGCCTTGCCTGCCCTGCCCCACACAG